TGTAATTATCATTTGTTACTATAGCAACCGCATTTAACAGCAGCAAGAGCCCCCAAGCCTTGTCCTCTAACCACCCCTCACACCACCACGAGCACTAATATCCTGCTGCTGATGAACACCATGGGCTACTAGAATCCCTTTTGTTCCCTGTGTACAGTTACGGTAGTAACTTAAATTCCTTATCTCTGAACTCTGCTTCCTGGGGTCACTCCTGGTATTAGCCAGGGTCCTAAACTAAACCAGAATCCATTTTTAGAATGCTTGGAAGAAACTTGTTGCTGCACAGTGGTAGGGAAGCAACCATAGCTTTTGCTAGGATGGGCATAACAAAATACCACAAACTAGACCATTTAAACAGGATTTATTACTTAGTCCTGGGGGTTGGAAGCCAGGATCAAGATACCACTGGGGTTGGTTTCTTCTGAGAATGCTGGGGAAGGACCTTCTCCAGGCTCTAAGCTCCTGGCATCTCCTTAAACTGTGGCAGTGCCACTCTTATCAGGACATGGTATCTCCCTGTATGTCTACACAAACGTTCCTCTTTTATGGGGATCCTATTGATTGGACCCACCTTAGAAACCTCATTGTAACTAATGATATCTGCACTGATTCGATTTCCATGTGAAGTCACATTCTGAGGTGTTGGGAGTTAGGACTCCAACATCTTAATTTTGAGGGACACAATCGAACCCATAATACCATAGAGGGGTGATGAGCATCCAGAAATGAGCAAATCAACAGAGGATGGTGTGTGCACTTGTGCTGTGTATTCTGCACCAGCTCCTGTGGATCCCCTGTCCAGCTTCCTTTACCTTGCTCTGTGTCTGGGAAGCTGCTCTCCATAGACTATATCCAGAGTACCCTTGTCTTCTACCAGTTTCTATCTGACTTGGATAATGGGAGGCAGAGGCAGGAGCCTTAGGGATGGGGAGAGGTAAATCAAAGTAGCTTCTCTGCACTTCACTCAGTTAAAATAAAAAAAAATTAATTATGTGTTCATGTGTGTGTCTGTGTGGGTTTGTGCATATGAACACAGTGACTGCAGAAGCCAAAAGGGAGCACTGAATCCCCTGGACCTGGAGTTAAAGGTGGTTGTGAGCTGTCCGACATGGGTGGTGGGAAGTGAACTTTGCAACAGCAGTGCTCACATTCCTAACCGTGGAGCCGTCTCTTCAGACCCTGCTTCTCTTACTTTTAACATTTGATGGAGAAGAGGTGAATAATTACAACATGTGTGACTGTGCGTGTGGATGGATCAGATTTTACAGAGTCAATATGAACAGCTGATCTTCATTGAGTAATTACAGCATGTCTTGTCTGGTTTTGCTACTCTAATAGAATACTATGGACTGAGTCATTTATGAGAACGGAAGTTCATTTGGTTCACAGTTCTATAGGCTGGAACATCTAAGACCATGGTGCCAGCATCTGGTGAGGAACTTCAGGGGTTTCCTCCTGGTGCCAGGCAGGGCAAGAGAGGGTGAAAGTGAATTGATGCTTATAATAAATCTCTTGTGATAACTGTGGTGGTTAGCCTAAAGAACTGTGAACCAAATACTTGAACACTTAGTTCCCAGTTGGTGGCGCTATTTGTGGAGATTTAGGAGGTGTGGTCTTGCTACAGGAAGTGTGTCACTGAGTGCTAGCTTTGAGACTTCATAGCCTTGACCACTTCCAGTTTCTCTCTCTCTGCTTCTTGTCTGCCACTGGAGATGTGAGCTCACAGCATTTGGCTTCCGCTACCATTTCTTCAGCTTGCTTCCACGCCTCTCTGCCATGATGGGCTCTTATCCCTCTGGAAGCATAAGCCAAAATAAACCATTTCATCTATAAATTGACTTGGTCATGGTGTTTATCACAGTAACAGAGAAGTAAGGAATACAGTAACTAACCCATTCTTGAGGTGATGACATCAATCATCAATTTAATTCCTGTTCTAGATTTTTTTCTGCTGCTGTTATAAAACATTCTGTCCAAAAGTAAGTTGGGGAGGAAAGGGTTTATTTGGCTTACACTTCCATGTCACAGTCCATCATCAAGGGACGTCAGGGCAGGAACTTCAAGGCAGGTACCTAGAGGCCAGAACCATGGAGGAACATGCTTGCTGGCTTGCTCTCTGATTTGCTCCCAGGCTCATGCTTAGCTAGCTTTCCTATACAGTTCAGAATCACCTGCTTAGGCATGATACTACCCATAGTGGGCTGGACTTTCTTATATTAAGTAATAATCAGACAATCCCCCTCAGACATGATGGCCTGTATCAACTTGAGAAAGCTAACTAGAACAATTTCTAAGGAGGGTGACCCAATCGCTTTTTAAGGGTTCCACTTTCGGACGCTGTTGATTTGGGGATTAAGGTTCCAATACATGAACTTAAAGCGGACAAGTTTACACCATAGCACTACGTATGCCAAACACTTAAACATATTAAGGGCAGTTCTCTAAGGAGGTGCTGTGATTATCCCAATTTTACAGTTGAGTAAACAGAGGTTCACTGCGGTTCTAGTGTTGCCTGGGGTCAAGGTTGTACAGTTAACTAGCAGCAATTCCAGGATTCCATCTAAGGCTGTTGCCCTTTATAGGCTACCCTAAATCATAATGGTGTATATGCTGACCCATTTATCAGATATACTTTCCCCTACTTGGCCTTGTGGCAAACTGCTACGTAGTTTTGAAGCGCTGGTCTAACAAAAGCTGTTCTGTGGAGCTTTCTGAATGCGTTCCCTTAGGGCCTGACCATTCACTCTGTGTATCCTCACCATCCTCTGCGTGCATTATGATATCCACTACATGCTTCTGTATCTGTTTTCCTATGTGTGAGACTTTAGGGAATGTTCATCTCCTTCCCATTCATCTCTGCAATCCCCTGGCCTATGGTGCTTCTGAGAGCCAAGGGTGCCTGTGTCTCTCTCTGGAAGGAATATTTTCTTGCCATCCCTGACTGCTTTGACTCTGGTGTAACCCAGTGCCCCTGATGATGGTTGACCTGACTTCCTCTGTTTTATTCCAAAGATAGCTGGCTGGCTGTGGCTGACCAGTCTACCAGTTTGTTTTCCCTTTTCCTTCCTTCTTCCTTCCCTCCCTCCCTTCCTCTCTCTCTCCCTCCCTTCCATTCTTTCCTTCCTAGTTTTTAGATTGGCATGCAGAGAAATGGGTTTCATTGTGACATTTTCATATTGTGTATCACTATACTTTGCTCTCACTCACCCCTCCCTCTGCCCCCCCACTCGACTCCCCTTCTTACTGGCTTCCCTTTCTGTAGGACTCCTGTCTGTTTTTGTCTGATTAGTGTTTGTGAGCTGAGCCCCTCAGATTCTCCCCCACACAGGTTCCTCAGCTTCTGCTTTTCAGTTCTGTCCTAGTTAACGGTCACATTTTGTCCTTGTGTCAAAGCTCAGGGACTAGACGGACATTTCCCCTCCTCTTTAGTTAGGATATTGGATCTAACTGCCTCCCTCTTGAGAAGGTTTGGATCCCTTTCCCTCAGGCTGTTCAAGGGCATCTACCGAGTGTCTATTTCCACATCAGCCTTGAAGAAATACTTCCAACCTCCACACAGCCTGCTCATTACTATATTAACATCACCTGCTCCACATGTTCTAGCATTGTACATTCTCTCTTTATTATTGAGTAGGGGACCCCTAGGGTGACTCCAGTAGTGGAACCTTCTATCTTCTATGTCTCTGGAGGGACATCCAATGCTGATACTGTCCGCTACTTTCCTCAGGTTCCTGCATCTCTGCTTCTCCCATAGCTCAACTGGATTCTTGTGAAAGCATCAAAAATGTGTTATAAAAGAAATGAGTCGGGGTTGGATGAGATGGTTCAGCAGGTAGACACTTGGGGCCAAGCCCGACCACCCGTTACACCCCCAGGACCCATATGGTGGAAGGAGATAACTGACTCCTGAAAGTTGTCCTCTGACTTCCACCTGCCAACCTGGCATGTTTAGATCTCCACTAATAAGGAAATAAAATGTTGGGGGGTATAAGGCCAGGTCCACAGCTTAAATCCCAGCACTGGGGTGGCAGAGGCGGGCAGATCTCTGTGGGCTCAAGGGTAGTCTCCTCTACATAGAGAGCTCCAGGCCAGCTGGGGCTACAGGGAGATATTGTCTCAACACTCCCTTCCCCACAAAAAAGCAAAGATAAATGTTTGAAAGTAATGGATTGCAATGCAATTTCTCTGATCCTATCATTGAACATCGTATGTATATATTAACATATCCAGTATCCTGTATGTACAATTATGTGTCAATTAAAAAATTCGTGTGTAGCCGGCTGTGGTGGCACACGCCTTTAATCCTAGCACTTGGGGTGTAGAGGCAGGCGGATCTCTGTGAGTTCGAGGCCAGCTGGGGCTACAGGGAGACCCTGTCTCAAAAACACCAAAAACAAAAACAACCCCCCCAAAACCCGAGTGTACAGTATTAAAAATGGCAGCATAATTGTTTTCGATTTTTAGTGCTAGTTTTTAGTTATTTATTAAACATGTCTTTTATTTGAAACACAGGAGTTTACTGGTGTGCATTGTAAATGCTCTGGGTTCAGCAACCTGCAGCTTGGATAAAATGCCTTTTCCGGTAGGCCCCTCTTCCACCTCTTAGAACCAGGAGCGCGGACACAGTTCCCGCTACCTTGAGCTTCCTCCCGGGAAGGAGAGGGTTCGAGACTCAGCGCTGCCCCGGCGCGTCCTGGACAGGAGGCAGGAGACCTGGCAGCAGGATCCGACTTCTTCCCGCCTCTCCGGAACTGTGTGGTCGCCCAAGAGGCCGGGACGCGGAAACCCGGGAGGCGCCGCGGGAGCCGCCGGGGCGGGGTCGAGGGGCGTGGCTTCAACTGGACCGGGCGTGGCCTCGGCGGGGCGGGGCCGGAGGGCCGCGCGGGGCTGCGCTCGGGGACTCCGCTGGCTCTC